ACATGTCGTCTGAGGAATGGGAGGGGGAGTTGAAATGGTTCGCGACTATGTCCATCCTGGGCCTCCTGCAGTGCCACAACGATGCCACTGCACCTCCCAGTCACGAACCATTTCAACTCCCCCTCCCATTCCTCAGACGACATGTCCATCCTGGGCCTCCTGCAGTGCCACAACGATGCCACCCAAAGGTTGCAGGAACAGCAACTCATATTCCGCTTGGGAACCCTGCAGCCCATTGGTATCAATGTGGATTTCACAAGCTTCAAAATCTCCCCTCCCCCTACGGCATCCCAAAACCAGCCCAGCTCGTCCCTGCCTCCCTAACCTGTCCTTCCTCCCACCTATCCCCTCCTCCCACCTCAAGCCGCACCCCCATCTCCTACCTACTAACCTCATCCCGCCCCCTTGACCTGTCTGTCCTCCCCAACTCCCCACCTACACTCACCTTTACTGGCTCCATCCCCGCCTCTTTGACCTGTCTGTCTCCTCTCCACCTTCTCCTCTATCCATCTTCTATCCGCCTCCCCCTCTCTCCCTACTTATTTCGGAACCCCCTTCCCCTCCCCCATTTCTGATGAAGGGTCTAGGCCCGAAACGTCTGCCTTTCTGCTCCTATGATGCTGCTTGGCCTGCTGTCTTTGTTTTATCCCATTCTGATTGGCTCTGGGTTCTTGCCATGCCCCCTGGTGGTGGCAGCACCCTGGTCAGAGTTTGAGAATAAGATTGGCACGAGGGTTCAGTGACCTGGAACAGGCCAGAGATAAAAACGCCACGCCAGTAAAAAGCACAAGACAGAGTGGGCCAGCCCACCACCTCACCTTTCACTCTCATCTGCAGCCTTCTCAGCCTCCTCCAGCTTCTGCAGCGCGGTGGCCAGGCGTTCCTGAGCCCTGTCCAACTCCTCCTCAACTAGCTGGATGCGTCTGTTCAGAGAGGCGACGTCTGCTTCAGCCTGGGGCAGCAAAACAAACACTCAATGCACAGGGCAAACACTGGGTGGTGCACATCCATCCCGGTGAGTGAGCCACCACCTTCACTGTTTGTTGCAAAATTGCTTCCCTCTTGAAATTTTCCACTGAGGCCTTCCTATGCATTTGGAATGGGTAGATAAAAGATCAAATTTAGCCCAGCCCACATTAAGCCTATAATTCAATTTCCTATTTCTCTTGTTAATCCTCTGCAGTTACTAAAATAGAGGAGTTGTCCTAGAAAACAATTTGATTTGTCCAGAAAAAAAAAAAAACTTGAACAAATTAACAATTTGGGAACCATACAAGGAATCCCGGAACAGTAGCTGAAATTTAGGGCTGAGCAAAATCAGTAACATTCTGATCCATCGTTTCTAGAGTACACTTGCTAAAGTCATCTGGGCTTAGGCAAGGCCAGCACATCCCAATGTATCACTTCTGCAATTTTCTAACAAATGAAATCTGCACTAAAAAGCAAAAGGGATCAGTCACAGGAAATCTTTATTTTGAATTTTGTACAGGGGCATTGACAGCACAGAAACAAGACATTCAGACCAAAGGTTGATGCCCATGTTTAAGCACTGCGATTCAAGGGCAGAAGTAGGCCATTCAGCCCATCGAGTCTGCTCCTCAATTCAAAGAGATCATGGCTGATCTGATAATCCTCAACTCCAATTCCCTGCCTCTTCCTCATAATGCTCAATTCCCTGACTGATGAAAAATCTCTCAGCCTCAGATATACCTAATGATCCAGCCTTTACAGCCCTTTGCAGTAAAGAATTTTAAGTCATGACCCTCAGAAGAGGGTCCTCCTCATCTGTCTTAAACATTTGACCTTTTGAACTACTTCCCATCCTATCTTATCGCATCTCACCCTCAGCAAGGCAGTTTCATTTCTCTCTGTTGACCACACATCTAGTTGCCCTTTCAAATGCATTGATGATCCTCTATTCAACATTCTCACCACTTCCTGTATAATTAAAAAAGAGTTCCCTTCCAATTTGTAACGTTTATAGCCTCTACTGGGGGCGTGAACATCTTCCCAACTGCGTTCACTGACGAACACAGAGGAATTAAACTGCAGTTCTCGGCCACTCTGAATGCACTCCAGAGGCAATCTTGCAAATCAGTCTTTTCTTTTAAAAAAAAATCTAAGAAGGAATTTTTACCCTTTCAGTGCACTTGCATGGGCAAGAGAAAACGCTTTTGCAAGTGATGCCCCAAAACAGAGCAAACTCTTTTACAAGTACCCATCCAACAAAATGAAGGGAGGTTCACTGCAAATTAGCAAGCAGGCTCAATAAAAGGTGCAGAACAGGGTCCTGTGGTGTATTGCCTCTGCCGATACATCGGCACCAGAGATGTATCATAGGCTCATCCCTCCCGGTGCCTCAAAGTTATGTAAACATAATTTCACACAAGGAAGAAATGCCTTTGGTTTGTTTGTTGGATAGAGTCAAACTCCAACGTTTGTTGGTTTCTGCATATGCTATTGCTTTAGCAACTATATTCATACAAATATCTTTTTGCACACAGTCTATTTTTGAAATAAAACAGTTCAATAAAAAAAAAGTGCAGACTTCAGTGATTTGCATTGATTCCTGGTCAGGGAATACAGATTTCCTGCAGTTGGGCACCCATTAAGTTTTCCTCCCCTGCCATTACCATTTTCCCCTCTTTTGTTTTCAGGTTTTTGACTTTTGGTTTTCACTGCCCCTGGTGGGCAACGTTTGGTAAAAATCACTCTTATGCAGGGATTGAGTATATATATATATTTTTAAAAAACGTGGGGCACACACAAACATTTCTCTTCAGGCAATGTATCTCCTTAGCTTCCCAGATCCTACCAGAGCACTCAGTCTCCTACTTCTCCACACCCCCCACCGCACACCCCCCGCGCCCCAGGGGGGTGTACAACAAGCCCCTCCTTCCTGGCGTTGCCAACCCTCCGATTCTTCTGGATTGTCCAGAGAAGAAGGATTAGCCTCCCAGATACCAATGCGAGACAGCCAACAGAAAGAATATCAATGGGGCATGAGGAAAACTGTAACCGGAGATGGTCGAAGAACATTGTATCAGCTCACAGAGGTATCAGAAAAGTCAAGGATGACCGCCTGGGGCTGGACAAGTGGGAATGTAGATTTTGATCAAAGTTATAATCTGATTCCTTCCATCACATTTGAATAGTGCCAGATCAAAACATATCAAGGTGCTGCACAAGAGCATAATGGGAAAATTCCTGACTAATTAAGAGGTCAAAGGTTATCAGGGTAGACAGGAAACTGGACTTCAGGCAATAGTCAGATCAGCCATGATCTTGTGAAATGGTGCAGTGAGCTCGAGGGGCCAGAATTGGAGGATCACAGAGATCTCAGAGGCTTGTAGGACATTACAGTGATAGGGAGAGGCAAGACTCTGAGGGAAAACTTGAAAAACAGGGTTGAGAATTTTAAAATTGAGGTGGTACCAGAACAAAATCTGAATAAAGGGGCTCGGCAAAAGGTAGGACCAAGACAGAGGGGGCTGGAGTAGGCAGTACCTCCATTTTCTGCTCCATCTGACCTCACTTAATTGAATGGAATGGAAACCTCTCTTCAGATCAGCAAACCCAATTCCAGAAAATGCACTCAATTCTTTACAATTCTGCTTCGGCCTATCCGTGCTCTCTGGGCAACCTTCCCTTTCCCCCCCACCCTCCTGGCCTCTCCCCTAGCAACACCAGAGCGGTTCAACCCTATGGAGTCGTTGATCTTCTGTAACATTAAGTTGAATTCACCAGAGCTATATAACAAGAAGTACAATGAAGCAGGCAGATAAAGAAAAAAAGTTGGAAACAGCAGTAGCATGAGCCATTCGTACTAATTCACAACAATTGGCTAGAGATATTTCCCCACCGCTCCCATGTGGGCTGACCTGCCTCTGGGTGTTTTTTTACGAGGCTGGTAGTTCAGTGCCCTAGTCTTTTCCGTTTATTGCACCAAGATTGTGGAAACGTATCCCAGGGCTCCATGATGACAGCAAATCCTGTTGGTTGCAAAATGTCGCAAAGTGGCATCATTAAGGACAGTTCACACCCAGCCTCGCCACAACTTAGTCAGCCCTCGTTTGGGAAAGCCGGGCCAAGAAGTGGGGCAGCAGGCCATTCAGTCCTTCAAATCTGCTGCAACATTCAATACAATCTGGGCTGACCTTGGGGTGGGGGTTCAATTCCACATTTGCTCAAATGCGGCCTCGATGTCAAGGGTAGTCACTCTCACTCTAGGATTCCGCGAACGTGCCCATCATTCAGCTCAGGCCTAGTTAGTGATTCAGTGATAATTTAGCAATAGGCATAACTTCCTTGTTTTTGTACTCTAAGCCCCTATTTGTTAAGGCACTGGATCACAGAAGTTTTGTTTTTAAAAAAATTCTTACCATATCCTGCCACCTTCAAAGTATCGCCTATCTAATCTATCATTAGATTACAAAAGACACCAAACTAAAGCTGTTCCTTCAAGGTAAAACATAAACAAATTTAATTTGGCGAGCTACAGTCCTTTTATGTTTTAAAAAAAAAAGTGATAAAAAGATCAACACATGCATTGTCCCTCTACAACCCAGAAAACCTCCATGTGAGGGGTATTTAAATCTCTACATTGACTGCTCCACAGGTGACTCAAACAAGGTTACTCATGCCACACCCTTCTTTCAAAAGCTTATTGTTATGAGAGGCTAAAGGTTAGTACAGCTTCTGGCAGCATTTATGATACTCAACTTCCCCACACAGAGCAAAGTTTCAGCAGAGGACTTGTTGGCCATAAATGGCCATTAAAACAGCACCGCACTTCAGCAACAGAACTTGGGAACCAGAACTCAGAGCCAACTATTTTTCCAAGATTTTCACTTTAAAAGGCCAAGCTGTTTCACAAATGCAACTTGAATCAATCACTCTCTCAATTGCTGCTGTTAGTTACTTTAAAATACACTGGGGTAACAGCACTCAAAAGATGCGAGGGGGAAACCATAGATAAAGCAGCTCACCTACAAACAATCTTTTCCAATGTGTTTTGTCTAGATGTTTTTAAAATCAACCTGTTCAGGGATGTTATGACACATCTCTGCAGCAGATGGGACTTGAACTCATGTCTCCTGGCTCAGAGGTAGGGACACTACTACTTGTATTACAAAAGCCTTACAGTTTGGTCTATTCTCCCTCCCCAGAAAATAACTCATCTCCCTCTCTCCATCATTACCCTCCAAAAGGCAGAATGAGCTTTTGCCTGTCTGTTCACATTTGATATCCTGGATGTGCGTAATGGCCAAAATCAGAGTGGTTTTGAATTGAAATGGGGGAACATATTGAACAGACTGTGTTTCTAATCGGAGACAACAAAGTGTAGAGCTGGATGAACACAGCAGGCCAAGCAGCATCAGAGGAGCAGGAAAGCTGACATTTCGGGCCTAGACCCTTTTGTTCTGTAGTGGGTCATTTGCTGAAGGTAAGGTGCAGTATTGCAGTGAGAGAGAGAAAAGGGTTGGTCAAATTACACCAGATGTTTTAAAAAAAAGTACAATACTGCAGATGTCAGAATCCGAAAATAATAAACAGAAATTACTGGTGAAACTCAAGAGATCTGGCAGCATCTGCGGAGAGAAAGCAGAAATTGAGCCAAAAATGACTTCTGAAGATCAATCACATTGTTTCTCTCTTCACGAGTAAATATTCCAAGTCCAGAGTTAATATTTTGAATCCAATGAAACGCATCTTCAGTACGTTTGGAAGAGGAGTCATACGGGACTTGAAATATTAGCTCTGTTCTCTCTCCACAGAGACTGCCAAACCTACTGAGTTTCTCCATCACTTTGTTCTTAATTTCAGTCTAATGACACACAGTCTGCTCGATCCCAGTTTCTAATGTTAGGGTCTGTGTTGGATCTATAGCCAAGGTAATCACAGAATAGGCAGAGGATGGTGCCAAATTTCAAGGGAGAGCCAAATCAGAGG